CCTATATAAACTACTACCACCAGTATATAAACTACTAACCATAATACAAATACCCCCATACATAAACTACACCACCTACTATAAATACTACCACCATACTAACAATACCCCACCATAATACAACTACTACCCCAGTACATACAATACTACAACCAGTATTACAACTAACCACCAGATATACAATACTACCACCATACTATACAAACTACCCAGTACATACAATACACCACCGTACTAAAAAACACTACCCATACTATACAACTACTACCACCAGTACTATACAACACTACCCCAACTATAAACACAACCAGTAATACAACTACTACCCCCAGTACTATCAAACTACCCCATACTATAAACACACCCCAGAAAAAAATACCACCTAACAAAACCCCCCCAATACATAAAATACTACCCCCAGTACTATACAACACTACCACCGTAATACAATATCCACCAGTACTATACAACTATACACCAGTACAAAATCAACCCAGTACAACAACTATACCACCAGTATATACAACTACTACCACCTACAAACAAATACCACCATATATACAACTACTACCACCAGTTATTTAAAAACCCCCCCTACTAACCAATATAATACAACAAAACAAACCATTTCTATACAACTATACACCAACTATACAATCTACACCAGACATACAATACTACCACCGTATATACAAAACTACCAAGTATAACAATACTCCACCAGTACTATCAACTACTACCCAGTACTATAAAAACTACCACCAGTACTTACAATATACCCCCAGTACTATACAACTAACCCCCCATAATACAACAATACCCCCAGTACTAACAAACAAAACCACCAGTACTAACAATAACCCCAGTACAAAAACAACCCCCCTTTAAACAATATCCCCCAAAATACAACTACTACCACCAGTATTTTAAACAATATACCACCGTACTACAATACTACCCCGTACTATACAACTACTACACCAGTATATACAACTAACCCCCAAACTATACACTCTACCCCCAGTACATAACACTACTACCCCCAGTATAACAACTCAAACACCAACATACAACTATACCACCAACCAAATACTTATACAAACTCCCACCAGTACTATACAAATCTATCACCAGTACTATAAACCCCTACCACCTACTATACAACTACTACCCAGTACAAAATTTACCCCAACTTACTACCCCCCGTATATACAACTACTAACCTACTATAAAACTACTAACCATATTTAACAACTACTACCACCATATATAAAACTTTTCACCAGTACTTATACAACTACTACACCAGTACAAAAAAACAATACTACCACCGTACTATCAATACTACACCATTACTATAAACAACTAACTCCCAAAAACCATACTATCAACAAACTTCCCCACCAAATTACAACTACTATACCATACAAAAATACCCCCCTTTAAACCACAAAATTTACTAACAATACTATCCCCAGTATATAAAACTACACCACAATACATACAACTACACACCAGATAACAACTACTACCCCATACTAACAAAAACTACCACCAGTACTTACAACACTCCCACCTACTATACCACACTACTAAAAAAAATAAACCCTTAATACAACTACTATCACCAGATTTAACAACTACTACACCAGTACTATACAATACTCCACCATATATAAACTACTACCACCATACTAACAACAACCACCAGTACATACAACTACTACCCCCAGTACATACAACTACTCCCACCAGTAAAAAAAATATTTAAAAGTTATTTATTTATTTATTTTTTTAAATTTTCAATTTGTGCACACATACAAGGTACAAAAAAAATACGGGGAAGAGCAGTAGCCAAACCCTTTTATCTATGCATAGCATTACGGTGGTTTAAAATTAATTAAGATTAACTAACAATGATGAAATCATGAAAAAAACATTAATGTAAAAAATTTAACTTAAACACAAGTGATTTACAAAGAAGGTCATATTTTTGCATCAGTTGGGGTAGTGATTCGTTAGGATTAATTTAAAAATAAAAAGTTAGATTGGGTTTTTAGTTTAACATTTTTTGATAAAATTTTGGGGAAAAATTTAAAATAAATTTTATAAGGTTCATTTTTCAGTATTTATTTGGTTTTGGGTGATAAGGATTTTGGGAAAAGAGACTTAAATTTTATAATCAGGTAGTGTTTCTTTTATATTTACAGGAAATGATTCCAGATTTTTAGGGCCTTTTATGTGCATTGAGTTTTTGATGTGGGAGGACACAGGAACATAAAAAGAGGATCGGCCTTTGTGTTATGGTCATTTTCTGTTGAGGTTGGAAAGGGAGATGTTTGAGGGGGGGGGTTTTAATATCAGATTTTAAGTGTTCTATGTATGTAATGGGTGCAGAAAAATAGGATGTTTTTTATGTGAGTAGGTTTAGTGTATTAAATATTGGGGAGTGTGCTACCCCCAGTACATAAAACACTACCACCATACTATAAAACTACTACCCCCAGAAATACAACTACTCCACATACTATAAACTATACCACCAGTACAATACAACATTTTCACCAGTACTATACAACTACTATCACCGTACAAAACAACATACCCCAGAAAATTACAACACTTCATTACCTCAACCTCCCGCTTCCCCAAAAATAAGGTTCTTTGGCAGATTTTGTATTTTCACTCCACATTACACATAATAACAAATAAAATCAACAAACATTTCCCCCTTATTTTAATAAAAATTGTATTTATTTCTTTAGAAAAATCAACTTTTTAAATAATTTAAACATTATTTAGTTATCTCTTTATTAAGTGTCTTCACATCATTAAAAAAATGATAAAACGTAAAAAAAAAATGTTAATGTGCCCCAACCTTCTTTTTTTCCCGTCTAAACAAAATATATGATTGTTAACAAAATTTAATTTCTATGGAAAATTTTAAAAATAAGTCAAAATTTAACATGGAAAAAAGTCAAAAAAATACCCCCGGCTAATGAAAAATACCCCTCAGGTGCTGAAAAGTTGCGTCTTCTCGAAGGGAAAGGCGACGCAGAAATCGTCGTCGTCGCAAACGAAGTGACTACCAACATGGAAGCCCTCAATGGGGAAATTACTTGGGGCTGTAAGGGCAGGAGGAGCACTGTAAGCCCAATATCCACACTTACAACGAAAGGGGTGCTCCTGTTCGCAATAACAGGTACCCCCACATATTTTTTTCTTGTAAACTGGTTACCTGTCGTACTAATGTTTCTTAAAATTTTCAGAACACGCTCTTCTTCATATTTTTTTTTCTCTTTTTTCTGCTAAGAAAAAAATTTAAAAATTTAAAATTTTAAAGAAAATGGCAAGCGAATAACTGTCTGCGACACTGATCTAAAATAATACGCAGGTTTTTATTTCAGTACTTTTGAAAGTTTTAAAGTTTTTTTAAGAATGCCCTTGTGATACATAAGTTGATGAGTTACAACTAACCAAAATGCCTAAGGAATCTATCACCGTCTTTGACAGACATTTCCTTTTTTTCATTTTTACTTAAGCCTGCTGAGAGAACCAAAATGTCGGTTGGAAAGATTTTTATTTTACGAGAACATGTTAATTCCACATTCTTGGGAAAAAAATTCGCCCTAAAATCGTTTTGTTAAAAAAATGTTCGGGGCCTCGTCCGCAGATGTCAATACTTATATCTCCTCAGTGGTTTTATATCCAAACAGGCATGACCCTACCACAGAGAGACAGGTCTTTATATGCACATTAAAAATATTTTAGTAGAAAAACTTTCCCCAAGCACTGTTCTCACAAATATCCCATCAGCGTGCCATAGCTCCTGGTCACCAGTGCCATAGCTCCTGGTCACCAGTGCCATAGCTCCTGGTCACCAGTGCCATAGCTCCTGGTCACCAGTGCCATAGCTCCTGGTCACCACGCAGCCAGTCAGTAAAGTTATCCAGAGTCTGCATGTAAGTGTCAATTACTTTAAAGGAAACAAGTATATGATTTTTTAATAGTTATATTAAATTCTTTCATTATATATTTTTGCAGTGCCAGATTTTTAAGTGATGCAGCTAATTTTGTCACATGCCAATGTCGGGGATATGATTAAAACTAAACACAATACAATGTTTAATATGGAAATACCTTTCCATGATATAACCTTAAGGAAATAAAAGGATATTTTGAAAATTGGTAAAATATGGCCGAATATCATTAGAAATTTTATCATTGAGTCATTTTCAAAACTTCTCATTGAATATTTACACATGCCTCTCATTAATGAATTATGAAAACTGTAGATGTTATAAATATTACTAAGAAACATTGATTATACTCTTTGCGAACTGCAGTTCTGAGCCAAACATTTAAATAACAAAGACACATCCATAAACATGAATATGTATTACTAAGCGGGAAGAATAAATCGCGATTTTTTATTATTAGAAATATTTGAGTTGAGCCGACCTGCAAAAAAAAAAAAAATTTATTTGATCCTCAGGTTAGAATATGTAGAAGAGATGGAGGAACATTCAATTTTTTCAAAGAGGAGATTGGAGGCAGTGACGATATCATGCTTAAGAATATTATGCAGACAATACAGCGTGAAGAAACTAGATGGTGTGATTTTATAGATAAGCATAATTCATAGACAACTGCTTAGGTGGTCTAACAAATTAAAATGAATGGAAGAGGATAAGTTGGCAAAGAGTGTGTGCAGTCTGGGGTGAAAAAAAAATGTGTTGGAGGGAAGGTGTAAAGGCGGTTTTGAAAGAGACGGTTTGTGTGTCCATCATGCATGTATGAATATGTTAAAATGGAGTGAGGGAAGTGGCTACACGTGGATTTTACGACCGAACGTGTTATTGTGTGAGGAAGCAACGTAATGTGCATGAAGAGATGCTCGAAAAGAGATTAACTGGATTCGAGTTCTGGAGGTGGGGAGTACGGTGCTTGAGATTAGTGTCTGGTAGGAATATAATAAAGCCTAATGAAAACGTTAAATGTTTGAAGTTCTTGGATACTTGCACGATGGTTTATTGTTATCTGACGTTCCAATATTTCAAGCAGTCACTGATGAAGCTTTGTTAAATGTTTTCCTTGTCTTCCCCAGTGAAGAAAAGAACAATTGTGAGGCACAAAACTTGACTAAATACTGGGACAACGACTCTTGCAACTGCTACTGCCGTAGACCCGAGGAATGCAGCAGTGGCCAGTACTTCTCTCAGATCTCGTGCAGGTGAGTCTGCTGACAGACAAGGTAGCGTAACATGATGTAACAGGAAATAAAACACAGTTAACTATGACCAGCCTATAAAATTTAACATTATTTCTCATTTTTATTTTAATTCGTTATAAATATACAATATGTTTATTACAAAAAGTTATAATAAATATTATGTTAATTTTCCCATATGTTTAACAGATGCGAGACGATTGCGTCGAGAATCGGCAAATAGGCTCCGACAGACAGTTAATTAAGGCCTCTCTGCGTAGACCGGTGACATAACTGCAAGTCCTTGTATCTTGGATTACCACTGTGTTTCACGCATGGCTTCACTGTAATGAGGTGGTCGTTGTTATGCCATTATACACTCGCTTGTTTTATGTTCACATTGACTGTTCGTTACAAAATTCAGTAACTAGACACTGTGTTTAGTACCAGACGTTTATTTCAATCAGTTTTACACTGAACTGTATCAACTTTCACAGTCGCCGAAAACTGTGCATTCATGACACTAAACAGTATCAATGTTGTATGAAAGGGATTGACAAAAGCTTATCACATCAACTGAGGAACCGTCATTTATGCTAAATTATTTTAATAAATACAAATATGTTATCCGTCACATATATTGATGACTTAAGTACGAACAAGACAGCCTTATGCCTAAGGTCGTATAATTCACTTCATTGTTCATAATTTTCTGTTTCATAAAGTAAATAAATTTGAAAATTTAAATGTGTCTACTGCAGCAGAAACACTGCAGTAGGCCTACTGGCCCATACCAGGCACGTTCTTATCAAATTCAAACTAACAAAAATATTGAGTCCCTCTAGCAAAAATATTCCGAACTCCCTAACAAAAATATTGACAAAAATATTTGAAAACAGTAACAGTTTGATAAAGTATGTGAAAGTGTGTTTGAGAACAGCAGACAGACGTCAAAAAGTGTTGACATGTTAAGTGAGAACAGTAGTATAGGTGTTAATAAATATTTACATGACGAGTGAGAGCAGCAACACAGACGTCACTAGTGTTTACGTACTGGAGAGTAACATCGTTGTTTTTATACTGTTATATTGCAAGGATCAATAAAACCTAATTAACCTTTACATTGTTTTAACAATCCTGCTTAAATTAATGGATTACTAGTTCAAACCTAATTATCTAACTATATTAATATATTTTAATCCATTACGACGTACATCGCAATAACTTTTCTTTATAATATTTGAAGCGAACTGTATGATTGAGTTTCTAGAAAATAGCGAACGTGTAGTTTTTCAGGAAAGAATCATCAGTTTCACAACCTTGCTTCAGTGTTTCAAACACCATATTAACTTCTTGTAAATGTTATGTAAGAAAAACCTGTAAAGGTCTCTGTGAATCTCCCTACAAGTGAAGCCGAACCACTGATGTATAAGGAAGTCAATAATATGACTTCATCATTGATGCATCAGTCAACAATATGACGTCAACACTGATTTTATTTTTGGCAACACTGACTTTTAACACTGATTCTTCACTCGACAAATAAGACTTCAGCATTGATGCATCAGTCAATAAATAGATTTCAGCACTGATGCATCATTCAACAATAAAACTTAAGCATTGATGCGTCAGTCAATAAACTTCAGCAGTGATGCATCAGTCAACAAGTAAAACTTCAACATTGATGTATCAGTCAACAATAAGACTTCAAAACTGATGCATCAGTCAACAATAAGACTTCAGCATTGATGCATCAGTCAACAAATATAACTTCAACATTGATGCATCTGTCAACAGACTTAAACACTGATGCATCAGTCAACAAAAAGTCTACAGCACTGGAAGCATCAATCAAAAAATAAGCACCAGAGGCATCAACATAGCATAAAGACAGTAGAAAGAGCTGTGTTAGGCTCAGAGTAACTGGCAAGACGTGACCCTAAGTCAGGCTCGCATATTACTTGGTCAACTATATCTTGCCATCATTGAAATAATATTTATTAACACATTTAACATAAAGATACAAATGGCACACAAAGACTGGCACTAGTAACGCCATTACATAAAATAAAGTAAGTCTATTGACACATTTCGAAAAGCTTCATCTGAAATCCAATTTTATACATTACGTGCATAGTGCAAGAGTGCAAGTACTCAAATTATTTCTTCATCCGCATATATTTTAATATCTTTAAAAACTCAGCCCATTATGGTGGACATCACTAATGAATCCCTCAGCCAGGTAACACTATCAACATAACATTGATTCTGACTGGAATATTCGTATGTTACTGAACTAAGACAAAATGCCCGTAATATTAATGAAGACTAGTAATATGCTCTCAGTGAAAGGCACTGGGGCAAAAGCAACATGAAAAATAACACATCAACTCAACACAAGCATACATATTAAAATATAAAAAAATTCTCACTATACTTACTAATAAAATCAGCTTATGCAAGAAAACTGCAAAAATATAATAATGATTTCTGTTTTACAACAATAAATACCCTGAATGAACTCATTAATTAGACTGAGAAAGTAAGTCTTGTAACACAAAGGTTCTGTACTACTTTGAAAGTGACGTGATATTGATCAGCCTTCTTGAGCTCTTCCCGCAGTTGTTCTCAATGACCTTCTAAGCCCGGCAAGTATTTCATTTGTATGAGGAGTGTTACTCACACTTTCTATAAGTTAGCTATCACTTCCACTGCACACTATCTTCCTCATTAGGCAATTCACCTCCTACCACTGAAACATGATCACCTACATTAATTTCAAATGGTATCAATTTATTAATCGTTCTTGGGTTCTCGTGACCTCTACATATTGCTCAATAGTTCAAAGGCCATTGGGTCCTGTGACACTCGTTATCAGTAAGCATTCTGTACCCGAGTTACATAACAGACCGGTTGTAATGTTCATTCTTCATGCCAGACTTTCATCGTTCTAGAAGTTTATTTACTCGGGTAAACGTATCCTGCAGCAACATCGCATCACTTTTTTTTCATCATTATTAGATGTACCTACTTAAACATGTATAGGTTTTGACACAGGTTCTAACGTGCGTCCAATGTACAAATGTACATAGGACCCACGAGAAAAGTTTTCTTGGTATATAAAGTGTTCAGTGAAGCCTCCGTGCCATGGATCCCTAGGTGATATAAACTGCTGTATACATTCTTGGCACTGCAGTAATCGGATTAAATAAACATTGTTATCCCTCCACGAAACTCGTTCCATAATCCGATATCATTTTTCTAGGAGACGATCTTTTTGCCTCAAATCTAGCAAAGAATTCCGCTGAGAGGTCAGTGCATGTTTGTATATGAATGGCTCTTGTTGCTGAACAGGTAAACAGACAGACATATACTTTAAGAGGGAGGTTATCTGAAGTGCTCGTCAAAACAATAGGATCACTGTGATCAAGTCCTGTTACCTCGAAAGGCGGTATCCTCTTATACTAGACAGCTGTAGGAGTCAACTTAACATAAATTTTTATACGTTTATGGATACTTTGTTGTCCCTGAGGAGCCCACAAGGTTTGTCTTAAATAACGCCAAGGTCCTGTATCCATCCGTGCATAGTATACACATGAACGTTCATAATGATGACTTAGGTAAAAAGGTATGGTATTTTGAATATTCATTTAGTGAACTATTCTTTAGTCTGTCTCTTGGTCTTATCATCTCAGAATAAGTTTACTGTATCTGTAATATTCCCAGTTCCTCATTATCCATATTTTTGATAAATTTAATGATTAATTAAGGAACTTCAACTTGAGTGGCAGCATTGTCTACCACTGGTACAATATATACATTTTGCTCTGGCGAGTCACGGTCATCAATCTACTAGCTAGGCCCATCGAACATAGTGACTTTTTCTGAAATTTCTTAGATATCTCACATTCCCTTGAAAACAAGATCGCGGACTTTTCCGGTCCTGGGATATGATTAAATTCAATGATACAATTAGAGTCATCAATAGTAATAATTATCCTGCACTTTCTGGTTATCTACAAAGCGATATATAACATAAATTAATTTACTGTTATTGTTGCGTATCCATTGTGTGATACGACTGTGATAGACTGTTAGATACTGCTGAACACACAAAGTTTAACTCCAACACACATAACTAACATTATTGTGCACTTTTATGGAATCCCCACAAAATATACGTATAGAATTAAGGTAGCGTATTACCTTCCCATGGAAATTCAAATTACACAGTAGTATAAAATCAAACACCATTTCCTCCCACTGAGTTTTAATTTTAGTCTCCAAGGATTTGTACTAACAATTTACCTTTAATAATTACAGGAGTTACTAACCGTAATGAATTGACACATTTTGTGACCTCTGAGAGTGAGGTTCATTATGTTAATTTGATCGATACAAGATTATTACTAGGTTTAATGTGAAGAATATCTGATTCAGTATCTCAATTTAATCTGGAAAATCAACAATGCGATCATTTTTAATGGTTGTGAGTTACTTTCCATTCTCTTAGTGACATATTTGCTGCCTGTATCACCTTATTACTTTCCTGGAATATGATCCCAAATTGTTCTTTGCTCTTATCTACTCAATTGGAATCGTCCATATAAAATTGCTTGCTCGAGAAGTCTTTGAAAGACTCTGAATTCTTCCATTGAGTAACAGTGGTAACTTATAGAAGGAAAGGTATATCCTGAGAATATTATTAAGGCGTAGAATTAAATATGTTGTGGGGCGGGTAGTGTCTGAATCTCAATTTGGGTGGTCACGGGATCATTAAGGGGTTTGTGGAAAGCATTGAGGGGGAGGAGGGGTTGTTGGCACTGGATTGGCAGGGGGCGTATGACAGGGTGGAAAAAGGAGCATTGCGAAATATTCTCATCAGACAGGATTTTGGGGAGGAAATTGTGTGGTGGGTGGAAACATTGTACTTGGGAGCGAAAGCACAAGTGCAATTCAATGGGTGCATAGGAGAGACAGTCAGCACTGGGAGGGGTCTTAGGCAGGGATGTCCAGTGTTGCAACTATTGTCCGCATGTGTTCAGGACCCCTTTTATAGGATGGTGGAGGATTGTCTAAGAAACGGGGGAGGGGAAGGTGTGGAGAAGCTTTGGCCTGGTTTGGTAGGTTACATGGATGCTACAACTATTCTGGTGTGTGAGGAGACGAGGTTAGGGGCATTGGAGGAGGTCGTGCACATGTTTGGGGGAGCTATGGGAATGAAAGTAAACTTGGAGAAGTCGATGATCATGGGGCTGGGAGAGTGGTCAGGGAGGGTGGCGTGGGGATGTGATGTTGTGCAGCGGCAGGCTGGGAGTCTTAAAATCTGTGGTGTCCTCTATGAGGCCGACCTGTGTGCAGCGAGGGAGGAGAATTCGAACAGGATGGTGGAACGGATGCAACAACGCTTAGGAATGCTGCGACCTTACCATTTAACCCTTAGGCAATGAGCAATTGTGATCAACGTAATATTATATAGTAAAGCCTGGTTTGTATCGGCAGTGTTGCCATTGACAGGAACGGCGACACGAGTATTCTCAGAATGGTGTTTAAATTCTTGTGGGGTTCTGGATGCGACTGGTTGTGGCTGGAGGTAGTGACATTGCCGGTATGTAAGGGAGGGTTAGGATTGTTGGACTTGTGAAGATGCGTGAAATGTGTGTTCATTAAGAGGGAAGTGATACATGTAGGTGGATGGAGAGGGGCTGCTAGATAGGGTACATGATCACCTGAGGGGATGGTATGGGGAAGCGGAGATGAAGGAATGTGAAACAGTGTCAACTCACTTACAGTGATAATGAAATGTGTAGATTTTTAACACTTATTTCCTCTCAAATTTTAAGCAGGAATATACTAGCGACATTCCATAAATAATAAATTATATGGAACAGGACTAAAGAATAAGGTGATGAGGATTAAAAATTTAGGTGACGAAAGATTGGATATCAGACTGAAGAGAGGGAGTATGGTGGAAGTGATTGCATTCCGATATTTGAGAGTGGACTTGTGAGCAGATGAGTTTAATAAAGACGAGGCAAATCATAGAAATGATAAGGGGAAAAACGTGAGTGGTGTACCGAGGAGTCTGTGGAGACATGCCATTATCCATGAAAGTAAAGAG